CAAAGACATGGCACTTGTGCTCAGTTTTCTTGTGAGATTGGTACAGATTTCTGCACACCAAAATTTGTTAATGGTCATTTTATATTCCCATGGCCTGAGCGTACATTCATTTTAGATCCAAAATTCAACATTCAGTTAGGAAATTTACTGTGTGCAAACACACCTAATCACTTTGGAGTTGGAAGATGTGTAGAATTTTATACTTTACAGTCTTTAATAATTATCAAGTAACACTTTTTGGCAGAGCAGTTGTTAATAATTTATTTTGGGTATTTTTGAATAATGATAATACATTAATACTTTGAATCTTGCTATAATAATGTCCTATTATTATTTGTGAATAATAATCAGAATAAGTACACAAGCTGGATCTCTCTATAAAAGTAATACAAGGGGCCATTACCCAACATCTTTTACCAAAAGAAGATGTATGGGTAATTCTGAATTTTTCTTGAGTAGTAATTATTAACAAATAGTCATAAATATTTAAGCCACATTTCTGAATAACTTATATTTCCAATGTAAAATCCTTTGGAGATGAAGTAGTAATGACATGTGGTAAATATTTGTGTATTGTGAAGTCATTACTGCATCATTGTGTGATAATCTGTCAAAAATATCAAGGATTATTTCATGTATTGAATATCCAACCATTGTTTCTTTTTAGTTCAATTTGCCTGTCTCTATTATGGTGCTAAGCTTATTTCAGTTTTATGCTACAGAATGTAGCAGAATTAAAAATAAAAAAAAAACCAACCAATTTTTTAGCTTTTCTTGAAACTTCACACACCTAAATTTGCTTTAATTTCACAAGATTCATATTATTTGGCATGAACTTGCTTGGTGTTTATTACTGAGACCTCCTTTGAAATGAAGTGTCAGGAGTTCTGCATTCACCTGTTGGTAACAACAGAGATTGTTGCCTCAAATTAAAATTTTACCTGGGCTTGGGAGAACTGTCTGAATTCCTCTTTGCTGACTGGGTTTTGTCCCAGTACAAACAATATTTGTAATTAGTGGTTTAGGTGATGAAATTGAAGTAGGATTCAATGTATTAATTCTTAATTAAATTATTTAAAATAAAACCAATGAGGGGATTATATTACCAGAATGTAAAGATACAGAAGTAGCCCTCTACCAAAATATAGGCCTAATGTCTCTCTGAAAAGAGGTGTGCCCTTAAAATACCTTCTTTTCAATGCAGAATGTAAGTCCATATTAAAATTATGTTCATGTACTAATCAGAATAAAAATGCAAATATATGCAAAAAGGTTTATATTTATATTATATTTATATATATTATATATATTTATATAGGTGGTAATTCTATCTTATTGTAGATCCTTAACATGAGTGTCTTATTTCCTTTTAAATTTTGAGGTTGTTTATATGTATTATGTAGAAAAGTTCAGGCTGTCCAAAGAAAAATGTCCACTCCCTGACTTTTCTTTATTTATGCAGTGCAAGCACTGAGGATTTAAATATTTTCATGGCACAAATGTTGTGAGGTCTTTAATTTTTTAGAAACTGGCAAAATGAGAGGACGGATTTTGGGTGTTGGAAAAATTTTGACAGGGAATCAGAGGAGAGCTAGAAATTAGAGCAGAGGGGAAAAGACAGATTTTTTCCCTAATAGGGAATCCAGATGAACCAAGATTCATTTGATTAATAGTAGTAATGATAAAATTGTGGTGCATTGAGAACTCAATCCAGTAGAAACACGCGATATTAATTTCAGTGTGGAAGTTTGAGCATACAGAATTTCTGTTGGTGGAGTCCCATGCTTTGTACTCAAACACAGAACACGGGGCATTTTAAACAGCTTTTGTTGTAAACAAATATTTTTAAACAATATATAAAACAACTGATCGAATTATTGCACAAATAATTACTCAAAGCTTATGCACCTTCTGAAAATAAATTAGTAAGGCAAAGCAATATTTTTCCATATTTCCCTTGCCCAAAGCTGCGTGAGCACGTGTGCAGTTCCCATTTCCAGAGCCAGCTCGCTACGTGGATTTTCCTGACATGTTTTGAAAGTACACTTTGGTTGAACCCAAATATTGCAAGTTTGCACTTAAAAGAAAATGTCTGTCTCAAACAGTAGCACAAAGTAAGATACAGAATGGATGCCTAGCCCAGCCTGCACAACAGGATTGCTACCATGTTGTTAGAATAATTATATTTTGGCTGAACTAACTAATTTATAAAAGCTGTGGCACATATAGCAAGACTGAAAACTTTCCAAGGCTGGCTTTTTGGGTTGTTTTGGGTTTGTTTTTTTTTTTTTTAATTTTTAGTATAATTTAAAACAATACCTCTTGTAGCTGCCAACAAACTCTTTCCCTGAATCTCACCATTCCTGGCTTCCCTCCTAACCATGTCCTGGCTCCCCTCCAGAGCTGCCAAGTTTATGCCAGAAGCAGGAGGTATATTTGTATGGGGCTGGAGGAAGATCTGGAGCTCTGTTACATTTTCCAGCCCAGATGGGGCAACATGATTTGTGTCTTTATGTCAGTGTGCCATACATCACAACTATCTGTGTGCTGACGTCAGCTTTGATCGGGCATTAATGTGCTGAACGCTGCAAACTAGAAAATACATGATAGATACAGATCTATGGCAACAATGCCACATAAGCAAATGTCTGTTTGGTGTGGCCATCCACTGTGCAAAATATTTCCCAAGATACACTGCATTAAGCCAGGGGAATATTTTGACACACTTGAAAAACAAAAACAAAATCAGCGTGGGCAAAGAGAGCACCATTTAAGAAAGCAAACCCTTTCAGAGGAAGAGCTGAAACCCAACATGTTAGGCAAATATTGAGGTGCTGTCCCTCACTTGAATCTTAATTTTGAATTAAAACCAAATAAGGAAATGCTATTCTTATGATTTGCAGGACTGTCAGTGATGGGGGCATGTTGCTGATGGTTTCTTTCCACAGTTTTTGTGACCCATTGTTATCAAAACTGGCAAGCAAAAACATCAGCAGACAGCAAATGTTTTTTTCAAAGGATAGGTTTTGGTTTTTTTTGTATCAGGACTTTAGCTTTCTTTCCAGGAATCATCAGTGTTTATTTATTTATATAAAAGTTTTTTGCTTCTTACTTACACAAAGAGCATCCAGCAGCCTCCTGAAGAGCTGACAAAAGATGGCCGTTTCTGGTCTGTGGGGTTGCAGAGGTCACTGACTACTTTAGATTTACATTTATACCATCTTTATGTGATTGCCCCCATAGAATAAGGATTCCATTAAAATATAATATAGTGTCTCTCCCTTCCTAAAAGAGGAAATGATTTGCAAGCCAGCTTCACAATAGCAAGGTGTGGGGATTGATGTGTGGGCAATGTCCTTTTTACCTCACATCACTTGTGTTACTCCTCAGAAAGGAAATTCTGTGGGGTGGCAGCACTTTATCATCCTCCATGGCCAGATTTGTGGGTAAAATGGAAGTTCCCTGGCTCCACGGGGGTGGATGCTCTTGGCCTGGGCACAAGAGGCTTTGAAAAGAGCCCCCTCCCCAGGACTTGATGCCATCTGGCCCAGAAGGTGGGGAAGGGAGGGGGTGTGAAGGTGCCATGGGATCTGTGGGTTTGGGGCTGGTAACCTGCGCAGATTGGGCTGTCCCAGGCAGGCCACAACTTCATGTGGAGGTCAGGGAACAGAATTCTGTTTATTCTTTGACAGGAGCAGGAGATTTTCGCCTTTGGTGACTGCTCTGTAAGCTTCTCTGTGGCTAGAAAATAATGGTTATTGAAAATAATGGTTATTGAAATGGTTATTGAAATGTGGGTTCTTGGGAGCAGTTGGGAGGTTGATCACCATTTTAATAAACCTGAATGTCAGTACAATGCATGGACTGTTCTAACATGTCTGGGGATGTTTTAGTGTCTCTGCTCCTAATTGACGAATCGCTATTATGGAATGGTTTATCAGTATTTAAATTTACCTTTCAGAATAAGCAGAAGTCATATAGTTCATTAAAGAAGTGCAAAATGTACAAAATACTTTAAAATCAATGAAAAATACCCAAACTAGAACCTGGGGCTGCAGAGCTAATTCCTTATAATTGTAATGGGTATTTTGAGATGATTAGTCTTGATACCCCTGAAGGTTTGATAAATGTAGCACCTACAAGCACCAAGAACAAGTATTATAACTATTAAGATAACTATTTGTTATCTTCAAGAAATATTTTGATTTTTACCAGAGAAATGGTTCTCTTTTTTCCTCATTAAATACTGACATCATCAAAGCATTTAAGAACATTTTTTCTGACTTACCCCTGAAGATTTCTGTTGTGACCTTTGAATGTCTCTCTGCTATATAAAATTGAGTAAAGAAAACCACGTGGAAAACAGCTTATTTAAGGCATGTGACAGTACATTGTAGAACAAGACATAAGGCAGCACGTAAAAAATCACAAATATATTGATAAATGGTAATGCTGTTTGAAGCTTTAGAGTCATATATTGTGCAGAGAGAAACTTTTACAGGGAAAAGTGCTGAGAAATTAGCATTGAGTTTTCTGTGTTCTACTGATAGGCAAAATGAATAATTGTGTGGGCTCTGCTTGCTCAAAGTATTAGAGATGATATGCCTAAGTGTATTAAAAACCAAGGTTTTCAGAACCCAAACAAAAACTGGGCATCAGACTCACAGCAGAAATCAATGAGAGATAAGCCTAACACGTGGCTTGCAGATATTGCTGATGTGAGCAAATGCTTGTTGTGAAGATTTAGGGAAATGTTAATTTAGTGCTAAGTTAGCCCTTTCATGGTTTATCCTTGTCAAATATTTGTTTTCTTTGGACACATACTTGAAGTCTTTTAATTTTATTTTTTTTTAAGAAAAAAGCCTTCTAACATAATTTATGTGTATTGATGACCTATTTTCCCCTCACAGTTTGCCACTGAGAAGACCAAGGCTTGCTCTGTGAACATTAATTACCTTTTTCATCACGTAGGATGTGTATTTTGTTTCCATGTCTTACAGAATAAAGCAATTATGGAACGTGTAACAAACTTGTCAGATATGGTGGTTGGTCTTGAATCATTTATTGGCTCTGAGAGAGAAACCAATCCATTGTACAAGGATTACCACGGTGAGTTCCTTCTTCAGCAAGGCAAAAATTCTGCCCTGGGTGTTTCTGGGGCACTTAGCAGCTCGCCCTCCAATTGGGCATCTGCTCTAAAGCAGCGTTTGATTTCATTTTGGAATTATATCTCTTAAATGTTTCCCCTTGCCTAAGCAGCCTTGAGTTAGGGAAATTTCCAGCAAAGTGCATTAAGGCTGCAAAGGAAACATGGCAACTCCTTGCATGTTGTCAGGCTGCATTACTGAGGCATGGCTCAATCAGATGTACATCTCACCAGGCAGGCTTTGGGGAATTCACATGCAGGGCAGGCTTGGCAATCATCTGACCAGCGAGCTGGACTTGTCATGAAATCAATACTTTCTGATCTGCCAAGTTTTAAATCGAGAACACGGGAAAACATGTATTTTAGTTAGTAAGGTGAATAAACTGCCGGATTATGTGCTGAAAAATAAGGTTCTGTTTTGTCAGCTATAGGTTACAGCACTTGCGCTTTTAAGGAAATGTAAAATGTGAAACTGATTTTGGTAAAAAGTCATGTAGCCTTTCGAGTGTTTTATCTTCAAAATGGGTGCTTAATCTTGCATTTTCTTTCCCAAAGATTTTTGTCAGCTGTTGCAGCAAAACTATTTAAATTTTAAAAATAATATTAGGAGTTGTGCACAGCCAGAGCAGTGGATAACAGTTTTAGCTAATCCAGAGCACTGTGCATAAATTACAGCTCTTATTATTGTGATATTACTGTAGTTCCATGGAAACCTTCAGCTGAAAGTAAACTGCTTATCTGAAATCTGCTGTAAACACATGACAGTGGCAGTGTTTTCCCCAGCAGAATGTATGGAGTACACAGAAAAAAAAAGCAAAGATGATGTTGAGACACCACTGTGTGTATGCAAGCTGTAATTAATAAATCAGAGAAAAATCTTTCTGACTGTGAAAGTGGTGCACATTTCATTATCTGGGGAAAAAAAGGTGAATGAAAAAGAAACCGTGAACAAAAGCTGGAATAATTTGCCTAATTATTTTTCCAACTGTATAATCGTGATATGGCCTTTGTTTATGCTAGCATAATTCTGTCAATTTAATACTCCTTTTTTCATTACTGAAGAGATCCTTTAGGACAATGTTTGTTTTAGCTTTTATTTCCTGTTTTCCTCTAAAAAGGCACGCTAAGCCATTTCTGGTGCTATTTAATACAAATTATGTGCCAATATACATAGCTTTTGGGATTTGCACAACCTTAATTTGACAGTCTGAAAAAGGGTGTTTCTAATGGTTTTAACTTGGTAGATTCTTTTTGCCTAAGAACATATTTTATGGTATTTATTTATTGCGGATGATGAAAGATTTTGACATTATTCAAGAGAAGTTTGATTATGTTATTGCATTATTTAATGAATACACCGTAATCATTTTGTTAAGCTGCCTGCAAATTTAAATGTTTGAAAAGCCACAAAATAACAAAAGAATTATATAGCTTACCCCTAAATGAAAATTTTTGGGATACTGTATATAAGCAACTCTGTGTTATACCTGCTGTTCCTATATGTAATAATTAGATTTTTTACTCAAAAACCTAAAAAATAGTTCTTCTAATTCACTGTACAGTAGGCAGGCATAGAAGGTTTAAAACTGTAATAACACTTTTCTAATATAATTGACAATTTTTGTAATTAGTGCCCGAAAAAAATGCTGCTTTTTAAAGTGCTTCAATTTTAGGAAACTTAAAAAAAAAATAAATAAAAAATGCCTGAAAAAAATACTTGCCTTATTTGAAATAAGGAGTTTAATGTTTGGGGATTTTCTCACAGCTGCCGTTTAGAAGTCAGGTACCTTTTCTAAACGTTCAGTATTTCCATTTAGACGCTGGCTTTCTGAATAACAAATATAGGCCAGTAATTGAGAAGCCCTGAAGAATTTTCCTGGTTTTCAGACGTAGAAAATCCCCCTCAGGTTGTTCAGAGACTATATTAGGCTGCACAAAAACCATCCAGCGTCCTTGTCAGAAAAAATCAGCCTGACTTGCAGCTGACAGAACGCGGAGCTTGCAGTGCACCTAGCGCTGCTAAAAACATCTGAGCAGCTCCAGAAACCTCCTGCAGGAGCAAAATTTATTTCTTCTGGGGGGGTTAAAAATCATTAAAAAGCGTCACCCGAACCGGGATTTCCCCAGAAACTTTTTGTTGTTGTTGTTGTTGTTGTTTTCAGGTGGTTTTCGGGGCAGGAAAGGAAGGAGCTCTCATTAGAGCTTCGGTGGTTCTCAGTAACCCATGAGCCTTGTTTTGCTGGCTGCTTACTGGTGCATTTAATAAAATAAAGATCACTCCGTGGTGCCGTGGGCAGCGTGCAAGGTGATAGCCATATTTGCTTACTGTAAATACGAGGGGAAATCACACACAAACGGGCTGGAGTTTTGACAAGTATTAAGATGGCTCTTTACATCTGTACTCCTGTACCAAAGTGCAATTAGTTTTCCCCGCACAAGGATTTCTGTTTATCTTATTCTGCTTGATTACTTGAGCATAATCGCGCCGTTTGCTTCATTGCTCCTGGTAGTAAGCTCCAGTTTAAAAAGGGGAGGATGAGTGTGTGTAAATATACAGAATTCTGCTGTAAGACTCTAATTTATGCATCTGGATGACAGCGTTTCCTTAATTTTTTTATTTTTTTTTCTTCCCCCCCTCCTTTACTCTTTCTTTCCACAAGGTTTGGTTCATGTACATCAGATTCCTCGGCTCAATAGCTTGATCTGTGATGTGTCAGACACCAAGGACCTTGCTTTTAGATTAAAAAGGAAGCAGTTCACCATCGAGGTAAGAGAAACCTTGTTTCGCTGTTTAGAACCCAAAAGGTGGAGCTAATCCCATCTCTTATGTTTCGTTTTGTTAAAATACATAAAATATGCATCAGATGATGTCAATTCATTTCGTTCTGGCTTTGCTGTTGGGAAGGGGTTTATAAAATACTGTAATATGCCTCCTAATTAAAAATGTCTCGTTTGCTGCCCTATAAATACTTTATTTTGGTTTAAAATGTACATAGAAAGTAGGCCACAACCTTCAATAACAAAGCATGACATGTTTCTAAGGATGTCAGGAGCATATTTAATTAAATGTTAATGACTTGCTCTTACTTGTGTTAGTGGGTGGGAAAGTAGCTACATGTTATTACCCCAGTAGAGGGATTTTAATGTATAATGTTGGCTAAAATTGTGTGTGGTATGGGGGATAAGTGTCCTTATCAGTATTCAGAAACCATTTTCTTTGCATTACTGAAATCACCTTTCGCTCTTTTATGTCATTTTAAACACAGTATCATTTACACTAATGTCCTTAAGTAAATTTCCTACTAAATTTGAACTTTTTTTCTGTGACCTTTATGCAGGCAGTCCTGATAGAAGGCAGTTATACAAAAGATGTATTTCATTTTTATCTTGCTAAAGAGCAAATGAACATAGCACTATTAAGCAATTAGAGCTGATGTATTTATTAACCAAGTAATGCTTAGAGATGGAAGATGGCTTTCAGGGTGATGCAATAGTCATCGGTACAGTCTGGGCAATTTTTTTTTTTTTTTTTCTTTAACAAAGACATAAAACAGCCAAGCATCCCTGACAAACCATTTTGTTTAATCTCTTTTCAAATGAAAAGCTCTTAAGCAGGCCACTTGTCTTAACTGCTTGAAACCATAAAAAGGGAGAATTGCCACCAATAAATTAGCATATTTTTTACTTCATCACCAAATGCTGGTCAATGTGGCTTGGCACTGCTTTGGTGTTTGGGACTTCACCCTTAAGTGACCACTTTGGCCCTTATTTGACCCTCTGCCCTTTTTAGCTGGCCACTTGATAAGGTAACTTAAGGGTTCTCTCTCTTCACTGCCCCCTCCCCTTCACAATTGCAAGTAGCCCTAACCTATAAATCATTGAAAGGGCCCTATCAAGTGACAAATTAAGGTGCCCTCCTCCTAATTAATGGTCATCAATGTCTTTAATTATCTAATCCTATTGAGAGGTAGTTAATAGTTAATCAGGCAGCCAGTTCTTCATGCAGGTCATCTCTGCGTGAGTGCTAGAAGTTTCTCAACCAGAGGGATCCTCTTCAGAAGCCACTTAAAGGCAAGCACATGGAGGAGGGCTTTTTTTTCCCCAAGACAATTCCTTTAGAAGGTTTGTCACTTTCCAGAGAATGCAGCGAGTGGGACCAGGCGTTGTGAGGTATTAAAGCATTTGAGCAGTACAGTAGGAACAAAACCCTTGGTAGTCTGTGTTTGGTTTTAAAATGCGAGTGTTCTCTCTGTTTTCAGAGGTGTAGAGAGGCGTGCACCCTCATTTCACAGCGTAGTAAATTCTCATTTGTCATAGCTGTGAATTAGGGTATTTGGGTGACGTCTCAGAACACAATTTTCTCTTCCCGACACGTTTGAGATTCTAATCTGTAATGTAATTTAGAAGGAAAGAAAACTCTTAGCAGGAGGCTCTAAAAAGAATTGAATTAGCCATGGGACATTGGAAACAGGAGTGAAGTGCAACTCTTGAAACAACCTGTTGTCTCAGACATGCGTGGATGACCCACTTGTGTAATTTCTGCCTTCGCTGCTCAGCTGCAGCCCCTTTTGAATAACTTCAGGTTTTGTTAGAGATATGCTTTCTGTAAGCTGAACTGACACAAACTCTCCCTTTTTGAACATGTTAGATCACTGTCCTACTGTGATCTTCCTGTACAAGTTTCGCTAATCCATAATACATATGTTTTTCTTCCTCATACTGTTAGGGAAAGCAGAGAGGCTGGCTGGGGTAAGAAAATGGGAGTAAGGAAAAACTGAATTAGGAAAGGATGTGAACGAGGTCTTCTGAAATGGCTTTCTGCAGCTAGAATGTGATGTGTCAGCAGTCAGTCAGCGCTGGTTCTGGGGGCAGAAGCAAAAAGCAGCACAACAGTGTGCATTGCAAGCATTGTATGTGCCTTATACACAATGCAATGAGCTAGGGCTTCTTCAGTATGTAGCCTAAATACGAAATGAAAATTTATATAGAGTACCTTAGAGTTTTTGGAAAGATTCTACATACTTATATGCATGATTTAGGATAAAAATATTGCCCTCTACTTGAAATGCTCCTTTAAAATCAAATTGCATAAGAAAAGCTGGAAACACAGAACCTATGAATTACGGTGACATTTCTTCCAAACGGGTTTTCTTCACTAGACCATTCTTATTTTATAGTTTAAATAAGAGCATGGGACATGGATTTACTCATCTCTGGATTGCTCACCACTAAAATAACTCCTTATAGTCTGGCCCTCGCAGGTGGAAAACTTTGAAAGTCAAATCTATTTTATTAGATTGCAGTTTTGTGGGAGGAACTCCACCTCTTTATGGCCCGCAGAATCTTTTACCATTTCAGTTTTCCTTGTGTCTTCTTCATCAAAATAAGATGGATTGAAATGTTCTCCAAAGAGATTTTATTTTAAAATTCAGGATGAAAATGGTTTTTTAATGAATATTTATGAGTGCTCATTGTCCATTTATAAATGATGAAGAGGAACCTTCCAGGAAAGCTTCCATGTTTATCTAAAAGGTGCAGTAGCTATTTCAAGCTTTCTCAAATCTTCACACGTTAGTTACTAGCAATATTCTCTTATATGCAGCATTATCAGAGATCTATCTTATGTGCATGCCACTTTAAAGGACACAATTTTGAAGTTAGCCTGTCTAATCCTATTTCTTCCCACTTTGGAATCTTAATTAGAAGGAGATAAAAACCATCATTTGACTAAATTATTGTCTCGAATCTGTAGCAAAAGGTATAATCCGCAATTGGGCCAATTAGTGTACCCCATAGTTAGCTATGCTGAGGCAGGAAACTTGATTAGATCTGACACCAGCCTAGTTCCCACTGTTGTTTTGCCAGGTATGATGGTCAGACTTCAAAGGGCTTGAGGCATCAGCAGGGCAAGGTTTGGAGGCCAGCTTAGGTCCGGTCGTTAATCTCCCCGCTAAAACCACAGCAGCCCTCGCACAAAACAAGCTTACACGACACAATCATGCGGTATTAAAGTTTGGGTTGAGTCATGCCAATTTGCCTTTGATTTTCTGATGATTGACTAAAAGATGGCTACATGACTAGACACATACTGAACGTTTACTGATTAGGTAAGTTCCCCAAATATTTGAAATATTTTTTGATTTCTCAGTTAAATGATATGACAGCCCGTTCTTCTTAATGCGGAGCTGTTCTTGAAGTGCTTTTTTTGCTTGCTTTGTAGCTCTGAGTGTAACTTTTAACAGCATTGGAGAAATTTTGTAGGAGCATTACATTCGTAGTTTTATTTGACAGAACTTTATCTTTGTTGTTCCAAAGCCTCCTGTGTCAAGACTTAAGAAATCTCTGCTGAAATTTGGTTTTTTCGCCGCCCCAAATTTCTATGGGAAGATTTTTTATCTTTGTTACTGGGGTAGATTTATAATTGCTCTCCAAAAAGGACATTTTCCTTTAATTATTTTCCACCTCACCATTGAGCAAAGCACTGCTCCACAGCTGTGATTACATAAGTGTTCCTTTCTTTTGCAGTCTGATTTGTTCAAATATTGCAGTAACAGTGACATGTTTCCATTCTGAGAAAAGCCTAAGGCTGCTTTAGTATTATTCCAAATGATTGAAATTGCCATCTTGCTGACTTTCCCTTGGGCAGCTTAGGGCCTGTTTACTTTTGTATTTGTTTCACATGTTCCCTCTGAGTTTGGCTGGCAGGACATCATTACCTGGTTTGACAAGACAGTTGGAGAAGATTCATATTTGATTAACTCCCTTTGTTATTGTCTGGACAACACAGAGCTCTGAAATTATCTATTTAAAGTTAAAGCCCCTGATACATTCAGATAAGTGCTTGCAAATAGCAAAGTTTCTGAGGGTGGGTTTTTTTTTTTTTAATTCCCTAGTTTTGCTTAATTTATAAGTCTTCAAGTTACTGTCAATTATTAGGAGTATAGAGATGAAGCTTTTTTCCTAGAAGTTTTTATATTATAGTTTGTCTAATAAATAGTTGTTGTGCAAATACATTTTTTTAATCAAAACTCAAGTCACAGCAGCCAACATTTTCTTTTAAATGGCTACACCACCTGTGCAGCCCACAATAAATTCTTTAGAAGCCAGCTCAGTTTGAGGCCAAATATCATATATGATTTAAAGAATAGCCATGCAGCAAAAAAACCCACCAAGTTTCCAGAGCTTTATGTACAGATTCAGGATCTTTTCTGAGAGGTGTTTCCTAACAGGAGAGGGGAAGGAATTAGAGGAGTCCTGTGGCTGGTTTCTCAGAGCAGGGCAGATGAAGTATGGCACTGTGGAGCACTCTGTATTTCATTTTCCCCATGCTAATTGCCAGAGTAAAAGGTGAAGTCTTTGGAAGGAAACATAACCACCAAAACCAGCAGCTGAGCCTATACAGAATTAAAAATAAACAAATTGTTCCAAAGGCATTCAAATAATGAATGTCCTGTCTTCATCTGGCGGGAAAAGACTGTGAGAAAATTAATGATGGCCAAAATAAGAAGTAATTGCAACTCCAGGCATTCCTTGTGTCCAACACTGTATTTGGAAGATGATTTCAAGCTCTTTGAGGTGGTGATTTTGGCCATTTAAAGCAGGAGCTGTGGCTTAGGTAGCCTCCATCTGAAATCTCTGCATTTCTGACTTTTCTTGTCCTCCTTTCAGTGTCTCTCTTTTCATTGCTTGTGGTAAACTTCTTATTTGCAAAAGGGAGGTGCAAGTGGCCACTGTCAGGCGTTATTTACCCAAACAGGTGGGTGAGAC